TCAGGGTCTCACTGCACAGTTCAGACTCCTAGTGATCTTCCTGTTTTCAGCCTCCCCAGTGCTAGGATTACAGGAGTGCACCACCACGTCTGCTCTCAGTGGCTGGCTCAGTGTGCCTGGGGGTGGGGCTGGTGCAACATGTGGTGCCAGGGATCTCTGGTACCTATGCTTGCCTAAGCAGGTACTTATTTTGCTGAGCTATCTTGCCAGCCCCAAACTGGATCTCTTTAAGAGAAGGACCTCTTTCACTTGATAGATCCGTTTCCAAGGAAGCCCTTTCCCAGCCTCAAGTGCCTCTCGGGTCAGCTGGACAGGAAGAAACGATTGCTCTTTTCTGTGTTGGGTGTGGAGGGGCACTTGAGCTCTGTTAGATCATGTGACTTTATCAAGAACGCCTACGAGAGGAGATGTGATTCAGATTCTGTGAGGGCCTGGAAAGGCCAACCAAAGGTTCAAGATGAGGAAGAAAATGAAGAAATGGCAGGGAAAAGGAAACTGCAAATGTGGTGATACAACACATACTGGGCCAACCAGAGAATTTAAAAAGAGCAAGACTGGATACAATGGAGAAGAATAGTCTGTAGGATTTGTGGAAAAAGACATGGCTGCTTTAACTGAAGAGCTGGAGGGTGTTGAAGCCAAAGAAAAGCAACATGAACAAGTAGGACTTCCTAGGAAAAGAGGGAAAGCAAAAAGGAGAAAAACAGAGATAGCTGAAGTTTTGCTTTCTCAATGAGGAAAAAGGGCCATTCCTAGAGTGAGCATAGAGGTCAAAGCAGAGGCAGGAAATTAAGAGTGAAAATACTGAGGGAGCCCATGTGGAAGGGAAAGGAACAACTACATGTTGCCATTGAAATCTAAAAAGGAAAGAATTGGGTCTGAATCTGCATCAGATATGTGTAGTACTAGACAGAATTTTGATGGCCCTCTGGGAGAAACAGAGCCACAGAGACCTGCAGAAGAAACCAAACTCATGATGGATTTAGATTCGGACGAAGATTTCATAGGTGTTGATGAAAAACTGAAGACCAAGATTTGTGACCCATCAGATGCTAGTCCACCTAGCAACCCCAAACTCCCCCAAAACACACTGAGAAAAAAGCCAAAGCCACAGAAAAGTACCATCTCAGTAACTGGGCTCCAGGCCGCTGATGCCAAGGACCTTCTTCAAGCCCGTTGGCTGATTTCCCAGCCAATCCTGAAGTTAGAAAGCCACCTCCTGAACAGCGCATGACAGTGAAGAAGATGGCAGGGAAAGATCAGCCTCCACTACTGCTACTGAAGATGCGCAGTGCCAACAGGAACCAAAACCGGATCCAGTCTTGAACCTGGCTGTCTCTCAAAAGCATGATCCTCCAAAAGCAAGAATGGACACAATAGGCAGCCATTCAGTTCTGATGATTCTGAGCCTAATCTTGAGAAAAGCATTTCTAAAGGACCCACAAGCAAGAAATCCAAGAGGGAGAGGAGGACTTCCATGTGGACCTAGGCTTGTCTGTGGCTCCTCCAGCAAACTCCAGACAGGAAAGCAACCTAAAAAGTAACAATGGAGTCAGGAGAAGATGATCTGCTTTAAACCATGAGGATTATTTAATAGAATGTTCTTACTGAGCCCAAGGCTAGTTTGAAAGTTACCTGAACATCTTAGTTTCCTTCCTCTGAGTTGATTTTGGAAAGGTGTTTTTAAAACAGGAACATCAGACGGAAGTGCATGGAGCCCAAGTGACTGTCAGCTTCATACACATTCACGGGCTCAGCCTGTGGGTGTTGTCATCTTCCCCATTGTGTCTTTGTTCTGAGTCTATTTACTTTGGCCTTGAAAATGCGATGCTCAAATCATCAGGTCCTGAGTAATTTATGCGCTTACCTCAGCATAGAAAAGCGTATTAACTACTGTAAGCTAAAC